TTATCATAATTATGTTGTAATCACTTTTTAAAAAATTTTAAGAGTACTGTAGTACTACAGTATGTTTGTGGTCGCATTAATATTGGTCCACAAAACAAGTAGCTAACTGTGAATCTATAAACTGACTTTTATCACTACATATTATGTCGCTATATCTGTATAATGTTCTGGATTGAATAAAATATGATAAAATATGTTATCAGCTAAAAACCACATCTCATGGCCAATTTGGAAAAAAACCTGAATGTTCTAGGAATTATTCAAATAGCATTGACCTCTGTTATCTAATACTCTATAATCTTCTTTCTTTATTATCCAAAAGACAAAATTTATACAAATACAATGAAAATAAATAGGATATAACATATCCTTTAGATAAAAGGAGGTTGAAAAGAGGCAACGTCATGCTTATCGAAGCTCAACATCCTATGAAATCAAATTAATAAATAAATTTCGGTAAAAACATGCCATAGAGAAAAATCAAAATGGAAATCGAAGTAACATTCTTTTATTGTAGACTGACTTTTATCACTACATATTATGTTGCTATGTCCGTATAATGTTCTGGATTGAATTAAATATGATAAGATATGTTATCAGCTAAAAACCACTTCTCATGGCCAATTTGGAAAAAACCTGAATGTTCTAGGTATTATTCAAATAGCATTGACCTCTGTTATCTAATACTGTATAATCTTCATCTTTCTTCATTATCCAAAAGACAAAATTTAAACAAATACAATGAAAACAAATATGATATAACATATCCTTTAAATAAAAGGAGGTTGAAAAGAGGCAACGTCATGCCTATCGAAGCTCAACATCCTATGAAATCAAATTAATACATAATTAAAACAAACACTTCAATAATAGTATTACTGTATTACAATAGTAATAAGGTAAAAACATGCCATAGAGAAAAATCGAAACGGTAATCGAAGTAACAATCTTTTATTGTAGTAAAAATACTTATTGACTGACTTTTATCAGTACATATTATGTTGTTATGTCTGTATAATGTTCTGGATTGAATAAAATATGATAAAATATGTTATCAGCTAAAAACCACATCTCATGGCCAATTTGGAAAAAACCTGAATGTTCTAGAAATTATTCAAATAGCATTGACCTCTGTTAATCTAATACTGTATACATCTTCTTCTTTGTTTATTATCCAAAAGACAAAATTTAAACAAATACAATGAAAACAAATATGATATAACATATCCTTTAGATAAAAGGAGGTTGAAAAGATGTTTTGAAGGTCTTTCTGTGTTTAATTTTACGAATGTGTATTGGTATTTCATTCCATATTTTATATTAATGATACAGACAAGTTCAAATGATCACAGTTTGAAGAGGCATTTACTGTATCCCGCAATAAGCAGATAGTAGCTAAAGTGAAATGATCCTGATGATGTTTTAAGGACTTGAAGATGACGATAACAATGATAGGCAATAATAATGTGAATGTATATTGAGAAATCCCTTAGCTCTGTCCAGATTAGAGTATGCCCTATAAAAAATATTATTAGTTTATCACCCTATCTAGGCAGGAAAAGTGATGAGCAGGCAGGCTTTTTTTATGTTTTCTTTATATTTTGCTGAAACCAAATATCACCCCTAGGCTGTTGTGCACTGATATTCACAATAAAACATGATTGAGATCAGTGTCGGACAGTAGGATAAATTACAGGGTATGCTAGGCCTTGGCATATCTAGCATGCTTTCATTTTCTCTGCCTCACCAAAATTTTATTTTTTTATTTCCTAATAATGTTTTACAAAATGTATGAAAATCTGGCTAACTCGCATCAGTAAAATTCCTCTCTCGATTGTTCGTGGTTGGGAATAGTGAATAATGTCTACTGCTTCTTTGATTTGCTTTTAATGTGTCTACTTGGTAAAAGTCAGAAAGTAATACAGTACCTGTTTCTAATCAACCATCTTGGATTTGCCATCTCGGAGTATAAAAAAAAAGCCCTCATTCTCTTTTTTCTTTTCAATATTAGGACGAGAAACTCCATTTTTATTACTTGGCCTAATGCACAATGGATAACCACATCTAAAACCCAGAGGTGACGGAACTAGGGGGTGCTGTGTTATGGAGAGTAATGTGTGACCGGAAATGGTCTGCAGTCAGTTGGTTGTTACCATGCGCCAGTGATGTTGGAGTATATAGTACAGCAACTGTCTCTTATACACATCTAGACAATATGAAACTATTATGTAGGCCTAATGAATGAATAAAGTTTGGAGTTTGTCAGGTAGTGAAATGATTATTTCACATTTTAAGTGCTCCCTAAATTCATAAGTGTTAAAGCTAAATTACGGTGATTAATTTAATTAGCGAAGATATGGAGACAATTATTTCGAATCCCTCTTTACAAGAGGGGATGCAAATGCTTTGTGAAAATGAGTACGCGACGGTACTCATTTTCACAAAGAAATACACACAACTGGTTAGCTAACAATTATGTCAATGTTACATGAACACCTGGGAAGGAAGGTGCAATCATGTTGTTACCTACAGTAGCAAACGTCTGTACTGTATGGGGGAGGGGCTCCTGATGTACTGTGTAGCGGGGGACGATGAGGCATAAGACTATAGCCTAGGCCTAACTAAGACAGTGGAATTATATTTGATAGAAAGTACACTTTCGGAAGAAATAAATTAAAATAAGAAAACAAAAAAACTAAGAATAATTCATTTGCAGAGGTACCTTATTTAAGTATTATACAATGCTAACAATGCGGCTCTTGTAGCCCTGGCTTGGGCAAGGCATCCATGTGCAAAGCAGTGGTGTTTGTTTATCCATGAAAAAAGCACGCCGGGAAAGTTTGCCTTACCAGGAAAAGGTGACGTATCTAGCTAATGACGTATGCATGCTGACTAATGTGAGTGTGACGTCACCAAAAAATGAATATTTTCTATTATAACCAAAATCTTAATAACTACAAAGTTTCTGGGTGTAAATTCCCTTAATATGAATGAAGGGTTGCTCAATCTCCTTGCCATACAAATTACAGCTCCTACTGACGTCTCAGTTGAGAAATACGGGTAGCTGAAGTTTTTCTCGCAAATCTGACTACAAAACAATATCCAAATTTCACGTTCCAATTTTGACCCTGAGTTGTGCTTCGCACTCGCCGCTGAGGGCGGCGTTCCGGAAACCCTGGGTCTAGATAAGCCAAAAAGGCCAGCAGATGGCATATTCCATTGGGGTCTGTGGGTCTCGATGTAATGCACTTGGAGAGGTATCAAAAATTCATACTGTAGATTAGAACCCCAATGGGGACAATATATTTTGCTCAAACATAATAATTTCAGCATATGGTAATTGTACAGCAAAGCACTTAATGACTATGTTCTAGACAGGCAAAGGAATACAAATAAATAACAAATTACAAGTTTGCATTGGGAAAATCAGCAAATGAAAAGCTTAAAAGTCAAGAATATATTTAAAGTTAAAGCCCCATTCCCGGCAAAATTTCACTAAAAACTGACTTTTTTTTAAAAAATATGCATTTGCATTACTCAAATTATTATAAATCATGGAAAAATATTGGCATGAATTTTAGTTTTACACAAAAGAATAAAAAAAATGAGAAATACAGACTATTTCTCATAAAATATTACCATTTTCTCGACGAATTCATCGTTACTAGGCAAATGCAAAGGTTGTAGACCGCATCCACTGGAATACTCTCGCTTTTATGTATACTTTATACAGTCAATAAAGTGCGCCCTCTCTAAAGGAATTAGTTTTTGTACTTCGCATCTCACACAATGCAGTCGTTCGGTTAGGCTGAGATATGTTTGTTTAAGTGTCAAAATATCAGTCACAATCAGTTTTTTAACAAATTTGAAATAATTCCTATGAAATATTATATTTCACAAGTGTCAATACTAGCAAACGGAAAATATCATGTCGGCCGTTTTTATGTGTGATAACAGAACCTAAATCGAGGTAAGGCTAGGCCTAGCCTAGCAGCGTTGGATAGGCTAATGTTTTCGGCGCCAACGATATTTCTTCTCACGACCTAACGCAAAATCAAACATGAAAAATTAATCCGCATTTATTTTTTGTGTGGAACACAAAAAATAAAATTTCAGTCTTATTTTACATTTTTTTCATTCTTAGGAATGTCTAAATTCAGTTAAACTAGCAATTCCGTATTATATTTATAAATCTTTATAACACTATACAAAAATTAGATTTTTCTTAAAAACTGAAATTTTGCCGGGAATGGGGCTTTAATAATAAAATAACTGCGGTGTATGCAAGATTTTTTAGAACAGTGAGAACAGAGTTGGTGAACAACTAGGTGGAGCGCAAAGGTACACAATAGGGGTAGGTAGGGGCATGACATAGGAGTAGGGACATAGAAGCATTCTCTTTCCTTCATTAGAAAGTTTTTACAGTAAACTAAGGTGAAAAGTACAGTTATCCTATGCCTTACCAACTCCCCATTTTGAGCCCACCACCCAAATAAAGAGTGACAATACATGCAGGTTTACATGGTAAAAAGGAACCAAATCAGAGGTGGTGAAAATACAAAGGTGGAGAACAAAGGTGCACAACAGGGGTGAGGGCAAGATAGAGGAGCAGGGACAAAGGATGTATTTCATTTCCCTCTTATAATTGAAAGGTCGTATAGCAAAACCAAGGGAACAAGTAAGTTACCCCATGCAATTGCCAACTCCCCATTTTAAACCCACCACTGCAGTAAGAGTGACAGGTTTACAGTATGAAGTTTTAGTTCCAAATATGGTAAAAAATATTTGTTGAGAAACACTCAATAATTATGTCAAAAGCAAATACGTAACAAATAGCAGGATTTGTGACACTATAAATTAGGATAATGCAAAATTAGATCCACTACAGTATCTACACCAACAGAAACCCAAGATAAAACAGAAGTCAAATAGTACAGAAGGTACAGTATGTTATATTTTAGAGATTAAATCAACTTTGTGCACATATTAAACCATTTTACCTTCTTCACATTCAGATTGTTTGTTAGTATCCTTGGACTCTGATGGGAAAAATGATGAAACATGAAATTGATGAAAAATCAAATTTTCCTTTCCAACCTGTCATTTTTTCAGGTATTTATACAGTATTTATATCAGGGGTTCATAGGCAAAAATGAAGTATCTGATTAATTCACGAACTTCTTGTGTATTACAATTAAGTGTTTCACTTAAGTGCAAATGAACTGCACTTAAGTGCAAATGAACTGCACTTAAGTGCAAATCATTCCACTGAAGAGCAAATCATTCCACTTAATTGTAATTCAGATGTACAGTAAATGATAAAAGGGCTTTCCAAAATTTTGTAGTATAAGCAACAATATGTGGGCAACTACTTGCTATGTGCAGACCTAGGAAATATTGCACTGACGAATGTAAAACTTTCGGTAGAATGTTTAAGTGTATTAGCTTGCATAAAAAAAACAAGGTAAATCCAGAAAAGATGAAGCATCATAGTGCTTTTTTTATATAAATTTGGCCCGGTGCATCTTTAAAATTATGTAATAATAATATAAATGTGCTATATGTAATAATTATATTATAATGATTATAATTACCTATAAATAAATGGGCGTCAATATCTGGGTACTTCTGTATCAGAGGTTCCACAACCTTTATTGCAGGATCACCTTCGTCTTGTACACATACAAATAGTTCATACTAAAAGAAACAAAAAATTTATATAAACTCATTAGATAAGAATAATATCAACAATATACTGTAGAAAAAAAAAAATCACTTATAATACGCCTACTTCAACATACCACATTTTATTCAATATTTATTTATATATTAACTTCTTTATAGTGTGGAACTTGTTTAGTAGGATATTTTTGGAAAAACTTTCTGTAAATCTAGTCACTGCGCCAGCGACTGATATCGGGGGGGGGGGATATTGTAAAATTTTAGGCAGGGGTGGAGCAATATATTTTCCACAAGCAGACCGGCGACACAATTTAAGATTTATAGAGTTAAGGGAAAATTAGCACATTGCTAGTATTGTTCATTCACACTACCGGATATGGCCTGCATCAACTACGCTATCTACTGATATGATTGGGGAGGGTGTACAGTAGCATCACCACCGTGTGTAAATCAAAAATCACAACTAAATTGAAAGAATGTTTATTAATATGTCTCCCTCTAAATAAAAATCCCCTCCAATCAAAGACTAATTTTCTGTGGTCCCAAATTAATAATTTCTTTTACCTTTTAATATTGAGTTTGACAATGATCAGCCCATGATCAGACTAGCCTGAAGAGGTTACAGGCGGACGTGAAATACTGTAAGTTTTATAAACATGTCTACTATGACCCTCCATGAACTCAATGGTCTCGTAGAACACCATGAAGAATTTTTCTTTATTATTCTAATTAGAGACCAAAGATGCTTAAGACCATGGCAACCTCAAGTCCTAAATGTGATCTTTAATTGGAGGGAGACTTGTATTGTTTTTTTTTTATCAATTCATCTTGTCATACGAATACTCCCCTCACAGAAACTGATTTCCAAAACCTTCATTTTATTCAAATACTAATTTTAGATTTTTACATGATTTAAAGGGCGCAAATAAAAAGATATTTTGACTTGGACTAAAATAGAAGTTTATGACACCCTTTGATCCTGTGAAATAAAGACAAAAAGAACTTTATTTTCATAAACATGTTTAATATAACACAATCAATAAACAGGTATTTAGTTTATGCTAAACAATGAGAAATAGGCTCTCAGTGGGCGTGTGTGTCTATTTCTTTACATACTTTTTTTTTTGGCTATTGTACTTTCAAATCCTAAACCCATCCATGCTTTGTGTGTTGGTAAACCCACTTAAATAAATGTTGTTTACTTTTTTTAGTTCATTGTAGGACTGGTCTTATCTAGGCATGGCTTCATATTTTGTAGGTTTTGTTTGGAAGACCTCATTTCTATCTTTATCTAATGACGCATCCCATAATTTCATCAACCGGATTTACTCTGACAGCTTTGTGTGTTGGTAAACTCACTTGAATAAATGTTGTTTACTTTTTATAGTTCATTGTACAGTAGGACTGGTCTTATCTAGACATGGTTTCATATTTTGTAGGTTTACGTTTGGAAGACTTCATTTCCATCTTTATCTAATGACGCATCCCATAATTTCTCCAACCGGATTTACTCCCACAGCTTACAAGTGAGACGATAGCAAGCGAGTCCACAAAAAAAAAACACATACCAATGTGATATCGCACCATTGAACTCCATAGTCATTAGAATTGGTAATAGATGACAGTAAGAAATACATACAAGAATTATTGGTGTACACTATCTATTAGAAATAGGGAGGCTGATTGGGGAGGGGTAAAGAAGGTGGAGTAGGGAGCTCGATGAGTGAGGGCCGCTAGATCACAAAAATATAGTCATATGAGGTGATTTTTAACTACTTGAGTGTGATTTTTTTAGCTTCTGACATTTTCAATGGGGATAGGGGCACAAGCTTTTGGGTAGGAGGGGGGGGGGTGGATGGTATAGCACCTGTCTCTTATACACATCTAGATGTGTATAAGAGACAGAAAACCCAAGGGATTTTCCCTGTCTCTTATACACATCTAGATGTGTATAAGTGGATGGTATAGCACTATATTATACTTATGTGAGACAGATGTTGTTTCTTTCGATTTTGTAAGGTTATGAGCTGTAGTAATAAAACATTGTTGTGGCATGCAAATTTGTGATGGGCCCTGCATTTTATCTCATTCTTTGTGACAAAGAGTGGTGAGAATATTTATCATAAAATGGAGCTTGGATTACGGTACTGTACATCAAGGTACTTCCAGTGGCAGACCGTCAAGGCAAGCAAGGTATGCAGTGCATACCCTGACTAAAACCTAAAAAAATAAATAAATTTGTACAGTTTTTTCCATTTTATTTTAAGGCGTTTCTTAGCCACAAACTTCTATACAAGCCTTGATTTTTCGAGTACAGATTGCTACAGTTCATTGGAATAGTTTTGCAATTTTTGGCCTATTTTAGTACCTGGATAAGTCACACTCAGCTGTTTAGAATTTCTGCAAGGCTAGTTTTCAATTTCAGCCAATCGCTTTATTCAGCGAGTCAATGGAAGTAGGAGCACACACTATAATGCTTAAATTAACGCTATTGTGCCAACTGCGTGGTGGCATTTGAATAGCCAATTTAACACTGGAGTCGAAGCACTGCTACCAAGATTATGTGTGCATGTTCTTCTCACTGCATCTCTACAGTAGCCTAATTAGGACCTCCACTGGCGATTAGATAATTTGTATTGCCATACATTCTATTAACTCAATGATTAAAGTTAAAACACATTTGCATACATATGACCGATATAGGAGAAACTTGTATTATTAAATTGAAATTTGTCAAACTTACAGGAATAGGAATTCTTTTGAAGAAGAACTACACCAAGTAAGTATAAAAAAGAACATACGTTTGTATTTTGACTATTAAACGCAGTTTTTTGATTATAGGCTAACAAATTTTCTATTTAGCAGGCCCATCATTGGTCGTATCTACTGTAGATAGGAGTCTTGAAATGGAAGGGGAGTTGATTTGGGGGTGGGAAGGCAAATTAAGAAAGGTAAAGTGGGGGGCTCGAATATTAGGTGAGGGGTGCAAACTCACAAAATAAGGTGATTTGAGATGCATTTTTTAACTACATGAGCATGATTTTGGGAGTGGGGCGACTGGAGGAGGGCGAGTATTTTTTTGGGGGGGGAACGTCCGCTGTGCACCCCCCCGCACACACTAGACACCCTATAGCCTAGTATACCCTTCAATTTACCCTACAGTTCACCAATCGGTACTTCAGACATTAGCAGATAAATCACATAATAAACATAATCCAAAAGGCAATATGCTGCAATATATAGTACAGTCAATAGTGTATCAGACTATACATTAACATAATAATAAATTCCTCTTTCTGATTGTGCATAAACAGTAATACCTACTGTATAGCCTCTTTAAGTTAACTGAACATAGTATAAAATAAAAGATGGCCTGTAAAAATGTTTGAAAAAGAAACACTACCGTCCTACTACTAGTTTACAGTGAAATCATAGGCTTAGCAGCGAGCAGTCCGGCAGTCTTTTACAATTATTTACGGCGGCCATTTTTACCGGGATGGCTTGGACAGCTTGGCCTAATCAGCTCGGCCTAGCCTAATTGGGCCTGGTCTACCTTTAGCAAATTCTTTATAATCTTCAAATCTATTGAATGTTACATTAAAGTAAAGCCAAATATAAATTACTTTTGATAAAAACAACATTTATTGATTGAATGTATTTGTTTTCGTACCAATATTCGGTGGGGATTCCCAAAGATGGGCGTGGCCCAGCCATCAACTGAGTGCCACGCCCACTGGCTTCCATTTTGGATGGCCTATTTCATTTTTCTGGCTAAACCCCTGAGTGAAATATACAATATTTAGTATCAAACATCATCAGTAGAGCTGATAAATGGCAAACTATTTCCACCTTCAATAATTTTAACTCGTCAAAAATGATAAATTAATATTTGGTTTCACCTTCTTATATTCCCATATAATTGTATTTTGCATTTTATAATTGAATTAATTAGTTTATTGCATACTTTCTCAAAATATAACAAGAATTACTTGTTAAGACGACTATAAATTCAATTGAATGGTCTGTAAGCAAAAATTACAAAATGTTTTTATTGTCAGTCCCAAGTTGTAGTTTTAATGTAGGGAGAGGAGGGGGAGGTTTGAATCCCCTACCTTTTCTTGACCAGTTTACTAACTGGATAATGTTAAATCATAACTTTGTTTTTTAAAGAAATTCTTCTGAGTTAAACTTGGCCTATAGGAAATTCCCCTTCCCATGACGAACCTGTAAAAGAGATGAGATCATGAATAGTTTTCAGAATACTGTATTCTGTTGTTGTGATATCAAAAACACTGTTTATAAAACCTACTATATTATTAAGTTACGCTAATAACATCCCATAAAAGAAAATATTACCATTGTCATATTTATTATATCACTGTTAATTAAACTTCATCATGTACATTGTACCACACACAGACAACGTACTGTAGATGAACTCTGCAAGTATAATAGATGGAAATAGTTTTGCCAACATGCCATAACCATAACATTTGTATAAATAACATTTGATTGGTGTAACAAGTCATTGGAAGTTCACTTTACAGGGAAGAGGAAAAGAAAGAAAGGAACTTTTTTGGAGGGTATCTGTAATCTTTTAATGGCAAGCGATGATAGCAAAGCCGAAATATTGGGTAGTTGCTAATACTACAAATTCAAGTGAGGAAGGTGTGGCTTCTTTTGATGATGTCATATAAAATTGACGATTAAAGCCTACAGTAAAATGTGATTTTCTTTTTTTTTATAGGCCTACGTGTGATATTTTACGATATAGACTAATAGTAATATAGATAGTGCTGCTACGCCTGTAATTTATTAAAAGACATGGGCCTGGTATAGTTTAGTTATCCGAGAAAAGAGCCATTATAATCAGTATTTTTTTTAATAAATAGAACAAATTGAGGCTGAGGTAAAATTTCAAATGCCATTTTTATTATTAACAAAAATAGAAAAACCAACAAAATATTTTTATGGTTTATCTGTACAGTAGGTGTGATTGTGTAATACCAGAACAA